TTACGAGATGGAAAAGGATGGGAAGCTGCCCTTTCTAGATGTAACAGTCATGGAAAAGGGCGGAGGTTTCCACACTGCAGTCTACACTAAGGAAACAAACATAGGAATGTGCCTAAATGCCAACAGCGACTGCCCTGACAGGTACAAGAGGAGTGTTGTTAACGCATATGTCGACCGTGCTCTCAGCCACAGCCCAGAATGGAAGCAAGTCGACGAAGAACTCTGTAGGGTAAGGCAGGTCCTAGTCAATAACGGCTTCTCCAATGGTTTCATCGAAGACATCATAAGAAGGAAAGTGAAAAGCCATGCAACCTCTGAAGAGACAACTAACACAACACCTATACCCCCTATTAGACTATTTTACAGGAACTTCTTTTCCACAGCTCATAAAACGGAGGAAAGGGTCCTGAAAGATATTGTTAATAGAAACGTTATCCCTACAGACAAAAATCAGAGGATACAACTGACGATTTACTATAAAACCAGAAAAACGGCCAGCCTACTCATGAGAAACTCTCCAGACACAAAACAGAACGCTTTAAAAGAGACTAACGTCGTCTATGCCTTCAAATGCCCACTTGGGGACTGTAAGCTCCAAAAAACCCAGTATATAGGCAAGACAACAACATCTCTTTCCAGGCGTTTAACGATGCATAAGCAACAGGGCTCCATTAAGGAACATATAATCTCTTCCCACAACCAAACCATCGCCAGAGAAATCCTAGTAAACAACACAGAAATCATCGATAGATACAGCGATAGCAGGAGGCTTGACGTTTGCGAGGCACTACACATCAAGAAGTCAACACCAGCAATCAACAGCCAATTATTGCACAACTATATTCTACCCACCTCAAGACTCCGCTCCAATATAGAAGCATCAAGAAATATGGACCAATAGGCTTTCTACAAACACTTCTATTCAATACCCATTGTTTGTGTTCTGTCTTGTGTTGATACTTTTAATACCCTATTAATATCCCCTCTTGTTCTGTCTTGTGTTAATGCCACATCACCCCTCCCACCTCACTCAAATGTAGATATAAAATTGGAGATACGTAAGTTCTAATCAGTTGTGTATTTGTGAACTAAAGTCTTTGAAAATGTAATAAGTTTTACGAAACGCGCCCGTGTCGCGTCAGACTAGAAATAAAAATGAATTTTGGAGAATTGATTTTGATTTACCTCCAACAGTGAAGCGTAATGTACGAAAGATTGAGAAAATTCGTGTTAGAATTATTAATCTTACTTTTTCGGTCATATTTAATAATATATATATATATATATATATATATATATATATATATATATATATATATATATATATATATATATATATATATATATATATATATAATATAAACTCCCACCCCAGATGTGACTCGAACCCATACTGCCAGGAGCAGTATTAGTTTGAGTCCCCTTAACCAGTCGGTCGTGATGGTCGCGTGGTTAAGGGGTCCTGTACACCAGTGTTGTGTGAGTTTTCAGTTGCATATTTGCCTGGGGATCATTCAGGCTTGTTCGCATTTGTGTTCCTCACATGTGCCCCAAATAATGAGGTGATTGATGAAATACCATGCCCATGATTACTATCAGAGTGCCGGCGGGATGATGGGGAATTAGCCTCGGCAACCATCATCTTTTGTCCGGTCGTTATGGTTGAATGGTTAAGGGGTCCTGTACACCAGTGGCAGAGTGCTCCTAGCAGTATGGGATCGAGTCACTTCTGAGGTGTAAGTTTTCAGCTGCATATTGTCCTGGGGACCATTCAGGCTTGTTCGCATTTGTGTTCCTCACGTGTGCCCAAAAGAATGAGGTGATTTGGTAAAATAACATGAACAAGATTACCATCAGAGTGCCGGCGGGATGATGGAGAATTAGCCATCAAGGTTCAAGAAGCCATCTCTGGGTCGTGGAATCTCCATAGGTCCTCCTTATAATGTTGTTAGTTTCTTCATGATCCTAGTTTTGGTGCTGTGGTGATGTCGATCTGTGAGGATGTCGAGGTGTTGGTCAATACGAGTACGGAGGTTTTCGTCGATGTTGCTGTTTCTCCATTGGTTTGTAGCGTGAAGTAGTTGCATTTTGTTGTCTTTGATCTCATTTTCTGTCTTTTGTATATGAATTCGAATCAGATCTTGGTGATATTTTATCGTGAAGGCTTGATTTTTTGCTGCTGGGTCGTGCGTTTAAATATTAGTATATTTGGGTTGCATATTTTGGTAGCATAGGTAGGTTTGGTGGAGTTGGAGATCCTATTGAACGACATATTCGACCACGAGACACAAAAGAAGGTTACCACTAAAGACACCTTGCAAGCAGAACTTACTTCAGAAGGAGGAAAGATTCGAGGCAACTTCAGAAGCACCATACTGTCCCCCGAGCTCAAAGTGGCAGCTAAGAGCCTTCGCGAGAACAAGGAGATAGTTGTCAGGATAATATACGTTATTCTTAAACAAGACGAATATCTGGTGAAAATCACCTCATACTCTCTGACCAAACTAAATTTCAGAGGGTAACGAAGGACACTACAGCCGAATTGAAAATAAAGATAAACAGATTGATCGAAACTGTGAACGCCAAGAAATCTGGACTCTACCTGCCAAAGGTTATTGTGGAAAACAAACCTGGGTATGCGAAGGGAAATGTCAACACCCACAAGCCTGGAAACCCACTGCGGCCAATCATCAGCCAGATACCCACATCCATGTACAGACTGGCTAAGCAACTCAATGGCTTGCTAACTCCTCATGTACCTTGTGCTTTCAGCCTGAAGTCTCCAAAGGAATTTGTTGACTTACTGCGGGGAACACAAGCCACAGGGATAAGAGCCTCGTTGGACATAGAATCACTGTTTACCAACGTACCTGTGGATGAAACAATCGGGATGATAGCGGACAGAGTGTATCGTGATCCGGCTTATACTCCTCTTGACATACCAGAAAACATACTAAGGAAACTACTCCAAGCTTATACAAAAGAGGCACCCTTCTTGAGCCCAGATGAGCACATGAATAAGCAAGTTTGCGAACAACATGGGTACCATCGAGCAGAAGGTCTTGGTTGACATGGACTTGAAACCTGCCATATACTGCAGGTATGTTGACGACATTTTTACACAGGTACCTGATGTCAGACGTCGGGCAGGAGCTGAAGGAGGCATTTGAGCGGAATTCTGTGTTGAGTTTCACTTACGAGATGGAGAAGGATGGGAAGCTGGCCTTTCTAGATATAACAATCACGGAAAGGAGCGGAGGTTTCCACACTGCAGTCTACACTAAGAAAACAAACATAGGAATGTGCCTCAATGCCAATAGTGACTGCCCGGACAGGTACAAGAGGAGTGTTGTCAATGCTTACGTCGACCGTGCTCTCAGCCACAGCTCAGTATGGAAGCAAATCGATGAGAAACTCAGTAGGGTTAGGCACGTCCTAGTTAACAACGGCTTCTCTAATGGTTTTGTTGAAGACATAAAAAGAAAGGTAAAACGCCATGCAACCTCTGAAGAGTCAACTAACACAACACATGTACCACTTATTAGACTATTTTACAGGGACTTCATTTGAACAGCTCATAAAATGAAGGAAAGGGTCCTGAAAGATATTGTAGATAGGAACGTTATCCCTACAGACAAAAATCAGAAAATACAATTGACGATTTACTATTAAACCAAAAACACGGCCAACCTACCCATGAAAAACTCTCCAGACACAAAGCAGAACGCCTTGATGGAAACCAACGTCGTCTATGCCTTCAAATGCTCCCTTGGGGACTGTAGACCCATAGAACTCAGTATATAGGCAAGACAACAACGTCTCTTTCCAGGCGATTAACAATGCATAAACAACAGGGCTCCATAAAGGAACATATACTCTCTTCCCGCAACCAAACCATCACCAGAGAAATCTTAACAAACAACACAGAAATCATCGATAGGTACAGCAATAGCAGGCAGCTCGACATCTGCGAGGCACTACACATCAAAAAGTCAACCAGCAATCAACAGACAATTAATGTACAACTATATTTTACCCAATTCAAGACTCCGAACCAATATAGAAGCAGCAAGAGGAAGTATGGGCCAATAGGCCCTCTGCAGTTACTTCCCTTCTTATGTTCTCATATCCAATTAATACCCACAGTTTCGTGTTCTGTCTTGTGTTTGTCACAAGTTTGTTCATCTCACCCAAAACTTTTGTACCATATCACCTCACCCAAATGCGAGTATGACAGATTAGCGTGTTTACAGGTTATAATTGTGTATGTAAACTAAAGTCTTTGAAAATATAATAAGTTATTACGAAATGCGTTCAGGCGTAGAGTCAGACTAGAAATAAAAAAGAATTTTGGAGAATGGATTTTTCAATTACCATCGACAGTGAAAAGAAACATAAGAAATATTGAGAAAATTCATGTTAGAATTATTAATCTTACCTTTTCGGTCATGTTTTACAAAATGTGTTTACAAGAAAGACTGCTACGAAAATATACTAATATATATGTATTATGTAGGACAGACGTAAATCAAACACCTTCTGTGGTTGATTGTTAAATAACTCACTAAACTATATGTTTTACAGATATCTTATCCGGTCCATGGTGGACAGAAGAAAATGAATATATGTTGGTTAGTATTGTAAATATAATAAGTCCACGTCTGGCCACGTCTGTGGTAGGAACTAATAATAATAATAATAATAATAATAATAATAAAACTTCCCCCTCGTGTCCTCACCCTCCGCTCACTTCCCCCTCCCACTAAATGACCCACCCACCCCACTCACCCCATTTCTCCCCTCTCACAGTGTGACGGGCAGTAAAGGGGGAATTAATGCAGCGACCAGCACAGTCCGCCCTATAGTGTCGCTCTCATCCCATCCCATATGGGCGGACTCATCCCATATCTGCTCCGGTCATCAGCTTTTTTTGTTTTGAGGGGGGAACTTTTTGTCCCTCATTTGAGGGGGTACTTTTTGTTCCTCATTTGAGGGGGTACTTAGGAACTGTTGGTAGTCCAGTAGCCCGGGTCTAGACCCCAGGAGGAACTGTTGGTAGTCCAGTAGCCCGGGTCTAGACCCCAGGAGGAACTGTTGGTAGTCCAGTAGCCCGGGTCTAGACCCCAAGAACATTCTCTCAGGAACTGTTGGTAGTCCAGTAGCCCGGGTCTAGACCCCAGGAGGAACTGTTGGTAGTCCAGTAGCCCCGGGTCTATACCCCTGGATGAACTGTTGGTAGTCCAGTAGCCCGGGTCTACACCCCAGGAGGAACTGTTGGTAGTCCAGTAGCCCGGGTCTAGACCCCTGGAGGAACTGTTGGTAGTCCAGTAGCCCGGGTCTAGACCCCTGGAGGAACTGTTGGTAGTCCAGTAGCCCGGGTCTAGACCCCTGGAGGAACTGTTGGTAGTCCAGTAGCCCGGGTCTAGACCCCAAGAGGAACTGTTGGTAGTCCAGTAGCCCGGGTCTAGACCCCTGGAGGAACTGTTGGTAGTCCAGTAGCCCGGGTCTAGACCCCTGGAGGAACTGTTGGTAGTCCAGTAGCCCGGGTCTAGACCCCTGGAGGAACTGTTGGTAGTCCAGTAGCCCGGGTCTAGACCCCTGGAGGAACTGTTGGTATAGTCCAGTAGCCCGGGTCTAGTCCAGTAGCCCGGGTCTAGACCCCAGGAGGAACTGTTGGTAGTCCAGTAGCCCGGGTCTAGACCCCTGGAGGAACTGTTGGTAGTCCAGTAGCCCGGGTCTAGACCCCAAGAGGAACTGTTGGTATAGTCCAGTAGCCCGGGTCTAGACCCCAAGAGGAACTGTTGGTATAGTCCAGTAGCCCGGGTCTAGACCCCAGGAGGACTGTTGGTATAGTCCAGTAGCCCGGGTCTAGACCCCTGGAGGAACTGTTGGTAGTCCAGTAGCCCGGGTCTAGACCCCTGGAGGAACTGTTGGTAGTCCAGTAGCCCGGGTCTAGACCCCTGGAGGAACTGTTGGTAGTCCAGTAGCCCGGGTCTAGACCCCTGGAGGAACTGTTGGTAGTCCAGTAGCCCGGGTCTAGACCCCAAGAGGAACTGTTGGTAGTCCAGTAGCCCGGGTCTAGACCCCAAGAGGAACTGTTGGTAGTCCAGTAGCCCGGGTCTAGACCCCTGGAGGAACTGTTGGTAGTCCAGTAGCCCGGGTCTAGACCCCAAGAGGAACTGTTGGTATAGTCCAGTAGCCCGGGTCTAGACCCCTGGAGGAACTGTTGGTAGTCCAGTAGCCCGGGTCTAGACCCCAAGAGGAACTGTTGGTATAGTCCAGTAGCCCGGGTCTAGACCCCAGGAGGAACTGTTGGTAGTCCAGTAGCCCGGGTCTAGACCCCTGGAGGAACTGTTGGTAGTCCAGTAGCCCGGGTCTAGACCCCTGGAGGAACTGTTGGTAGTCCAGTAGCCCGGGTCTAGACCCCTGGAGGAACTGTTGGTAGTCCAGTAGCCCGGGTCTAGACCCCTGGAGGAACTGTTGGTAGTCCAGTAGCCCGGGTCTAGACCCCAGGAGGAACTGTTGGTAGTCCAGTAGCCCGGGTCTAGACCCCAGGAGGAACTGTTGGTATAGTCCAGTAGCCCGGGTCTAGACCCCTGGAGGAACTGTTGGTATAGTCCAGTAGCCCGGGTCTAGACCCCTGGAGGAACTGTTGGTAGTCCAGTAGCCCGGGTCTAGACCCCTGGAGGAACTGTTGGTAGTCCAGTAGCCCGGGTCTAGACCCCTGGAGGAACTGTTGGTAGTCCAGTAGCCCGGGTCTAGACCCCTGGAGGAACTGTTGGTAGTCCAGTAGCCCGGGTCTAGACCCCAAGAGGAACTGTTGGTATAGTCCAGTAGCCCGGGTCTAGACCCCTGGAGGAACTGTTGGTATAGTCCAGTAGCCCGGGTCTAGACCCCTGGAGGAACTGTTGGTAGTCCAGTAGCCCGGGTCTAGACCCCTGGAGGAACTGTTGGTAGTCCAGTAGCCCGGGTCTAGACCCCTGGGAGGAACTGTTGAGTCCAGTAGCCCGGGTGACCCCAAGAGGAACTGGTATAGTCCAGTAGCCCGGGTCTAGACCCCTGGAGGAACTGTTGGTATAGTCCAGTAGCCCGGGTCTAGACCCCAAGAGGAACTGTTGGTAGTCCAGTAGCCCGGGTCTAGACCCCTGGAGGAACTGTTGGTAGTCCAGTAGCCCGGGTCTAGACCCCTGGAGGAACTGTTGGTATAGTCCAGTAGCCCGGGTCTAGACCCCAGGAGGAACTGTTGGTAGTCCAGTAGCCCGGGTCTAGACCCCAAGAGGAACTGTTGGTAGTCCAGTAGCCCGGGTCTAGACCCCAAGAGGAACTGTTGGTAGTCCAGTAGCCCGGGTCTAGACCCCAAGAGGAACTGTTGGTAGTCCAGTAGCCCGGGTCTAGACCCCAAGAGGAACTGTTGGTAGTCCAGTAGCCCGGGTCTAGACCCCAAGAGGAACTGTTGGTAGTCCAGTAGCCCGGGTCTAGACCCCTGGAGGAACTGTTGGTAGTCCAGTAGCCCGGGTCTAGACCCCAAGAGGAACTGTTGGTAGTCCAGTAGCCCGGGTCTAGACCCCAAGAGGAACTGTTGGTAGTCCAGTAGCCCGGGTCTAGACCCCTGGAGGAACTGTTGGTAGTCCAGTAGCCCGGGTCTAGACCCCTGGAGGAACTGTTGGTAGTCCAGTAGCCCGGGTCTACACCCCAGGAGGAACTGTTAGTAGTCCAGTAGCCCGGGTCTAGACCCCTGGAGGAACTGTTGGTAGTCCAGTAGCCCCGGGTCTATACCCCTGGATGAACTGTTGGTAGTCCAGTAGCCCGGGTCTACACCCCAGGAGGAACTGTTGGTAGTCCAGTATCCCGGGTCTAGACCCCTGAGGAACTGTTGGTAGTCTAGTAGCCCGGGTCTAGACCCCTTTAGGTAGTCCCAGTAGCCCGGGTCTAGACCCCAGGAGGAACTGTTGGTAGTCCAGTAGCCCGGGTCTAGACCCCTGGAGGAACTGTTGGTAGTCCAGTAGCCCGGGTCTAGACCCCAGAGGAACTGTTGGTAGTCCAGTAGCCCGGGTCTAGACCCCAAGAGGAACTGTTGGTAGTCCAGTAGCCCGGGTCTAGACCCCTGGAGGAACTGTTGGTATAGTCCAGTAGCCCGGGTCTAGACCCCAAGAGGAACTGTTGGTAGTCCAGTAGCCCGGGTCTAGACCCCTGGAGGAACTGTTGGTAGTCCAGTAGCCCGGGTCTAGACCCCAAGAGGAACTGTCTAGTCCAGTAGCCCAGGTCTAGACCCCAGGAGGAACTGTTGGTAGTCCAGTAGCCCGGGTCTAGACCCCTGGAGGAACTGTTGGTAGTCCAGTAGCCCGGGTCTACACCCCTGGAGGAACTGTTGGTAGTACAGTATTCCAGGTCTAGACCCCTGGAGGAACTGTTGGTAGTTCAGTAGCCCGAGTCTACACCCCTGGAGGAACTGTTGGTAGTCCAGTAGCCAGGGTCTACACCCCTGGAGGAACTGTTGGTAGTCTAGTAGCCCTGTTCTACACCCCTGGAGGAACTGTTGGTAGTCCAGTAGCCCGGGTCTAGACCCCAGGAACTGGTAGTCCAGTAGCCCTGGTCTACACCCCCGGAGGAACTGTTGGTATTTCAGTAGCCAGGATCTACACCCCTGGAGGTATTCCAGTACCCCGGGTCTACACCCTTGATGGAACTGTTGGTAGTCCGGGAACCCGGGTCTACACACCTGGAGGTAGTCCAGTAGCCCGGGTCTATGTCTCTGGAGGTAGTCCAGTAGCCCGGGTCTACACCCCCCTATTAGACTATTTTACAGGAACTTCTTTTCCACAGCTCATAAAACGGAGGAAAGGATCCTGAAAGATATTGTTAATAGAAACATTATCCCTACAGACAAAAATCAGAAGATACAACTGACGATCTACTATAAAACCAAGAAAACCGCCAACCTACTCATGAGAAACTCTCCAGACACAAAGCAGAACGCTTTAAAAGAGACCAATGTCGTCTATGCCTTCAAATGCCCACTTGGGGACTGTAGGCTTCAAAGAATTCAGTATATAGGCAAGACAACAACATCTCTTTCCAGGAGATTACCGATGCATAAGCAATAGGGCTTCATTAAATATGTTCTCTTCCCACAACCAGACCATCCCCATAGAAGTCTTAACAAAAAACACGGAAATCATCGACAGATACAGCGATAGCAGGCGGCTAGACATCTGCGAGGCACTACACATTAAGAAGTCAACACCAGCAATCTACAGCCAATTAATGCACAACTATATTCTACCCACTTCAAGAGTCCGCACCAATATAGAAGCATCAAGAAATATCTGCCAATAGGCCCTTTGCAGTTACTTCCATTCTTCCCTTTAACTTACAAAATATTATACCATTGTTTCGTGTTCCGTCTTGTGTTGAAAGTTTGTTTTCACCTCATCCAAAACTGTTGTAACATATCACCTCACCCAAATGCAGGTATAAAATCGAAGCTGTTTAAACTCTGTTTAGTTATAGTTGTGTGTGTGTAAACTAAAGTCTTTGAAAATGTAATAAATTATTACGAAACGTGTTCTAGTGTCGCGTCAGACTAGAAATAAAAATGAATTTTGGAGAATTGATTTTTCAGTTACCTTCAACAGTGAAAAGAAATATAAGAAATATTGAGAAAATTCGTGTTAGAATTATTAATCTTACTTTTTTGGTCATATTTAATAATATATATATATATATATATATATATATATATATATATATATATATATATATATATATATATATATATATATATATATATATATATATATATATATATATATATATATATATATATATATATATATATATGCAATTGACGATCACAAAACACTGATCATTTTATGCGGAAAATCCACAGAGAAATATGAAATGAGGTGAACGTTTCGGCTTGTTAAAGCCTTTGTCAACACCAGACTCAAAGATGTCTCAACACATGTCTGGTGTTGACAAAGGCTTTAACAAGCCGAAACGTTCACCTCATTTCATATTTCTCTGTGGATTTTCTGCATATATATATATATATATATATATATATATATATATATATATATATATATATATATATATATATATATATATATATATATATATATATATATATATATATATATATATATATATATATTATTAAATATGACCGAAAAAGTAAGATTAATAATTCTAACACGAATTTTCTCTATCTTTCTTACATTTCTTTTCACTGTTGATGGTAATTCAAAGATCAATTCTCCAAAATTCATTTTTATTTCTAGTCTGACGCGACACTTGAGCGCGTTTCGTAAAACTTATTACATTTTCAAAGACTTTAGTTTACAAACACACAACTGAAACTGAATAGAGCTTAAACATCTTCGAGGTTTATATCTACATTTGGGTGAGGTGGATGAGGTGAAAAACGAACTTTCAACAATGGGTATTCAATGGGTATTAAATTCCAACACAAGACAGAACACGAAACAATGGGTATTGAATGGGTATTAAATTCAAATACAAGACAGAACACGAAATAATGGGTATTGAATGGAAGTAATTGTAGTGTGACGATAATCTCCTTCAAGAGAGATTGAGCCTGCTCTTCCCTCCTAAGTACGTCCCTATACAACAATAACAACTAATATAGAAGATACATCCAACAAGTACAACACCAAGGTTTGCCCAGAGAGCAAACGTATTCAGCACCAGGAACACCTGCTCCACCTCCGCCACTCAAACCAGCAAACTAC